CCCCCCTGTCTTGCCTTCCCTTTTCTTTACATGAATGGACTTTGGTATGGGATACAATTCCAAGCATTGTCATCCTAGCAACATCTTATTTACAAACCAATTCTGAGGATGCCCCACCCAGAGACGGCCTCCTGGTCTCTATTGCAGAAACCAAGCTGAATCCAGGTCATACCTGCCCCTTAACTCAGCATCTGTGTAGCCCCAAGGCTTAAAGTGAGGCGATGTTCCATGACACATTTAGGATAAAGATGCCTAACTGGTCCATGGGAGGTAAACGAACTCCCTAGAATTAAGCAGCATTAAGTAATTAGAAACTGCACTTGGGTTAGCTTCCAGTGGGACCCAGGAAAAAAAGCATAAAATAAATAGCTCACATCATCAGAGAATTAATTGGTCTGTATATGAAGACCTCCCCCCTTCAAGTTGCCTTCTTCCTGCCGAAAGTCAGGATGATTCATCAAAATACCTACAGAGGCAAAGAGAAACCGCTGGAGGTGATTGTGAATCTTTGGGAACACTTAGCAGCAGCACAGCAGGACTGTTGATGATGTCAGCTAAAATTACATTTCTTTTTTCATGATATAAGGGTCAAATATTGTGCTTACTGGAGGGAAACATTTTTTTAATGTCTTCTGAGATTTTCGTTTTACTGGAAGGAAATGGATTTGGGACCTACAATGTTTATAGAGGTTAAAGGCTTCTTAAATTCTAGAATCAAAGCACACGGAGTTGTCTCTGGTCACATCCTGAGCCCAGATGGAAGGGATGGCCCCATGTGGTCAGAATGGGCAGGTTACTGATGGGGCAGGCACATGTGGATCTGAAGCCATGGGAGTCAGTGATGGAGGGGCAAAGAAGGGGGTCCTCAAAGGACCAGAACAGAATGTCCTCTTAGGGTTAGGTCCACCTGGGTAAAACACTGTTAAGGGGTTGGACAGAACACCACTGTCATCTTTTCTTTAGTTAGATTCAGATAGTAATTTTAACTCTCTCTCTCTTTCTCTCTCTCTCTCTCTCTCTCTCTCTCTCTCTGTGTGTGTGTGTGTGTGTGTGTGTGTGTATTCCCTGGTGTGGATTTTGCTCTTCTTGCCTCCATTAGCACTTCTGAATTCACTGTGAGAGGCAGGAACGAACTGTCTATCACACGCTTGTTCATCTCTTCCTGTGAGGTGGTCTAACCATGTCTATTTGGGTCTATTCTTAGCTACACCACCTGCTTTACTTTATTTTTCTTCCTACTTATGTGAGGTAATGGGGAAGGCGAGAATACGGCTTGTGATTTGCTTACCATCCTACCTGTTTGGTGTGTTCAAATCAGCTCTTTGGAGACAGTCAAGATACAACAATGGAAATAACAATGATTGTTCATGGTTAAAGTAGGAAATCACACAGTGTTTCTATAGAGTATCTGCTATGTTCAAGATACCATTTTAAGCAGGTTGCAACAATTCATCTCATCTCTTCACTGAGAAGATGACGTGTGTGAGGGGAAGGATACTAGAGTTTGTTTTTAATTTCTTAAAATGAATTTTAGTAAGGTCTGATCTAAATATAATCTGGTTCTTATATGGTCCCATCTTAAAGCCTGCTTTTTTTCTTGCAAAGTAATCAAAAAGTAGGGACCTGAGACCTATCCAGTGTTTGCCCAGACCTCCCTGGATAGTGCGCTCAGAGTCCTGGCTCCCTCACTCCTTCCCCCTCCTTTGCCCCCCCATCATGAACTCTTCTCATTCAGAGCCTCAAATTGCTTCCTGTGGTAAGGCCACCTTCTCTTGCTCTCTAGGGCCAGAGCCTCCATCTCTTAGGACCCTCGTGTGTTCCTATATCCTGGGAAGGTAAGGCTGTGTGCCTTCTCCTAATGCCGGCAGAAGGACGCGTAGTACATAGTGCTGTCATGGGGAGAATTTGGCTCCCATTGTCTAAATACATGCATGATCAAGCCTTCTGTGTGATCATGCTTGCAAATCTCAGCTTTCACCTCATGTTTTTCAGACTAACCAGTTTCCCTTCCTTCTCTTCTTCCTTTGGACTTGAAGGATTGTCTGTGCAATAGAAACAGTCAGTCTGAATTAAGCATCATTGTGAACTTGATCATCTTTAAATCTCTGGTTTCTCAAGGGAAACTGAGGAGTAAGTAGAGTGGGGGGTAAGAGTGCGTTTCAAGGCAGAGGTCAGAGGACAAAAAGACCTTTGCAGAGTGCCGAAAATGGAAGAGTCCAGATGAAAAACAGCAAGGAGGAAAGGAGGCCAGCTCACTTCACTGTGATGTTATTATCCTAGGGTGGCACACTTCCACAAGTTCAAATAGGAAATAAACAATATTTCAAGGGTTCCAGTAAGAAAATAATGACAGCCTTGGAGCACACAGCTGCAGCCACTTTCTGGGATTAGGCTGTGCCCCTGTCTTTGGCCTTGGCTTCCTCCCATCTACAATGTTATTTGATTCCCTACAGCTTTCTTTCTGCTGGGTTCAAGTACAAGCTTGCAGCATTCTCATGGCCCAGCAAGTAAACAAACCTCCAGTGACAAAGGAAAACACTGGCAGGTGTAGTGTTTCAAGGCAGGCCTGCGGTGGGGATTTCCCAGTTTGTTATGACAGCCAGCCACCCTGCTCTCCCCACCAGGTTGAGAGGAACAGGGATAAGGTTGAAAAGCATTGAGTCAGGCCTAGAGAATTTCAGTTTCACCACCTCGGCCAGCAGCTGCTTAATCATACTAGTTACCTTCAACACAAAGGTCATGTGCTGAAAGTAAATGATTATCTGTTGGCTGCTTCGCTTCATGTTTACAACTTTGCTTAGCACCTGGAGGAGAACCTCAATGTACTGCATTTCGACTTACCTACCTACAGTCAGTGAGAGGTCTTCAGCTGGCTGTGCTTGATGGACCGTATGAACAATCCCATGGAAGATGAAAGGGTGAGCATTGCAGAGTAGCTTGCTGTTCAAGTATACGTTGATGTAAGATGGTGGTGTTGTGCCCAGAATCCGAACCCTCCCCCCCCCGCAACCACCAAGAGACCAGATTTGATGCAAAAGCAAAGAGTCTTTTTAATTTACGAGTTAACTTGGGTCCTCCATCCAACCGACACAGTGGGTGGAGTAGGAGGGACCCTGAGTCTCAGTGGGAAAGGACATATATTGGGGTAGAGCAAGGGGAGAATCTGGGGGTCTGCTAGTTGCACGGCAACAGTCTCAGGATTGGTGCACCTCCAGGCTTGGGCAACCTGTCCTGAGTTGATTGGTCAGCTGCAGCTGCAGAAAAGATTGCTATGCCTAGAGGCCATCCAAGGGCAGTTGCTACTCCCTGCATTCCATTGTTATCAGTAAAGCACATCCAGAGCCCGCCAGCTAACTTCTGATTGGTTCCTTGCCAGATGGAGGGTATCTGGTGGTTGCTTCCTAGTGATTAGGGCAAGGTTGGAGGCTCAGCACCTGCTGCTCAGTCAGGGGCCAATATCTTGCTGTGTCTTTTCTGCAGCCTGTTGAAGCTGCCAAAGCAGGGGGTTGGGTGAGGGTCTGGGCCCTTCAGTGTAACTTGTCTTGCCCAAGTCAAACGCCCCTACATAGTCACTGTACACAAACAGTGGAAGGAAGGAAAGGTGGACACAGAACGTCTAGAAAGACCTTTTTACACCATGCCAATAATGCTTATGGTATTCTGGGTAAAACTTGCTGTGTCACCCTCAAAACCTAGGAATATCATGTGAGCTCCCTGAAGATGTCAGCTTGCTCCCTGAGGAGATAGCTTGGTCAAGAGTCACTCTTAAGAGGAGGCCGTGTAGCCTGTGATCTCAGCTGTGCAGAAGGCTAAAGTAGGAGGATTACACACTCAAGGACTTCTTGAACTATAGAGAAAGTTTGATGGCAGTCTAGGCAACTTTGTGAAACCTTGCCTCAAAAAAATAAAACAAAACAAAAACAAGGACCAAACAACAACAACAACAACAAACCAAATCTCAGTGGTAGAGCATGTCCCTGTTATAGTCAAGACCCTGAGTTCAGTCTCCAGCACTGCAGAAGCAGAACAGGCAGTGACAGCAGCAATACACTCAGGGCGTCCCTCCTTAGGGGCAGGGGGAAAAGAGTAGTGCCAACCTTGATCTCTAGCCAACCCTATAATTCAATCCCTTCATTTTCATCAAGAGCAAGTGCTAAGAATCTAATTTTCTGGGGATATTTTTAGGCAGGGATGACGAGGATGGGGGATTAGTTGATAGATAGAAATGTCAAATGTAGTCTGATAGTTTCTTCCCGTTTCCTTTTTCTGTGTGGAACTCATATGTCTACTATACCCTCCCCAGTAACCAAAACACATACCATGTTATTATCGTTCTAGCACCGTAATGAGTTATTTGAAATAATTAACCTACAATGAGAAAACCCTTGTTTTAGCTCACCATTTTGGATGTTTGACTCCAGCATCAATTCATCCAGTTGGCTTAGTCCCAGACTAAGAAAACATATCAAGTGCAAGCATGTGACAGAACAAAACAATAAGAAAGAACAAAACAAAGAAATGAACATGGCTGAGGTCTTTCTCCCACCCTCTTCAGTCTCCTTCAAGGACATGCCCCCACTATCCTAAAGACCTGGTAGCTCCACCTACTAAATGTTCTCCTATTTCCTGGTAACATGTCTGGTCATCAAGCTTTTACCTCATCTGGGGATCAAGTTTAGCACATGGGCCTTTGGGGGTCATTCAAGATCTAAGCTATAGCATGCACCATATAAACTCATATCCAGGACTTGGCCCACTTTCCCAGTGCAGAGCCCTCATTTAGAAAAGTTAATTTTTTTTATCAGAATAAAGAAAGAAATCAAAATAGAAAAAATTTAAAACACAGCAAATACTGCATATATCACAAATATATGACACATTGTTTTAATTAGCTATCATACATTATTATAATATTTCCCAATACTATTTTGAATACTTAATCTTTGCTAGTCTCTTTATCACATAGCAATTTTAAGGAGAAAAAAAAACAATAGAAAGGCAGTATAGTCTTTCACTAATATGTCATACCAGACTTCTTTTTAGGTTTAAATAGTTGAGATGCGTAAGCCTGTGTCCCACAGCAGGACATGCCATTTAGAAAACTCCTATAGGTTTGTGGTCTAAAGAGTCAGAATTTCCTAACTCACTGATAGCCAGGGTGATGGAGATTCTGGCTTACACTTGTTGTGCGTGGTTGCTAAGGGAGGAACCCCCACAGACTGACCACCTACCACTGCTGTAACCGAAAGTCTAGACGGCCCCTCATTTCCCTCTCATTTCCAGGGCCAGATTCTCCACTGCACAGGCACCCAGTGGTAGACTTCCATCTGTGTGCCTTCGTATCACGATGTGGCATGAGTTGGCACTTCAGTTACAGAGTATTTCTAGAAGCAATTCCTATGAATAGCAATAAATTATCTATGTACAGAGGTGACTGGAAGCCAACTAAATATATCGCCTTAAAGCCAAGCTAAATATGCCTCCAATCCAGCTTCATCTCGGCGTTGTTCCAAAAATACTGTGGAAAGTCTCCGCATAGGGTGCTTGTAAGTGAGGTAAAGGGGAAGTGAGAGCAGAAGAAAGTCTTGCCCCATTGCAATCAGATTCTGTCCTTGCACAGTGTTGCAAAGCTTTTGTGGCTGTGACCTCTCCAGCTTACTCTTCATTGAGAGATAGGTTCTTGGACTATTTGTGCATACCAACACCCATGATGCTCAAGACTCTTCCCAGGTAAAAACGGCTCAGCATCTGAATATAACTAATGCAGTCCTCACCTGCACTTTAAAGTCTCTCGATGGCTTTCCACACCGGACACAGCACCTACACCTCTCTTCCTTTCCATGCATTTGTCACAGTATCTGGCCGACAGCAAATTCAAGTTTTGCTTTTCGATTTGGTTCAACTTTCAGAATTTGGTTTCTTAACGTGCGGCTGCAGACCACGGCCAGCTGGATCCATCTGAAAACTGAGCATGGTGCTTGACTGCTCTTGGTGGGAAGGAATGGGAAAACTCATCTACAAAAGATAATGAAGACAGGTGAATGAGGGGATCAGAGTCAAGGCCGCTGACAGCCCTGCTCCTGTCAAGGGCATCCCTCTCCCTGAGACTGGGCCTCGGGAAGCAGCCAAGCAGCTGGCTTAAGACTAAAGAGACGAGAAGTGCAGTTTTCATATTTGTGAGGGGTTTTTAAAGCAAGGGAGTTTTGTCTCTGAGTGAAAACAAGAAGCCAGGGCCGGCATGACAGAGGAGGAGACTGAGAAGGAAGGTAGACAGCGGTGAGAGAAGAACAGCAACATTGACAAAGGGAACTTCTCAGTCAGGCCTCCAGGTCTACCCTTTGTCGTTACACTTCTATGTGATGCCCCTGACAGAGGAGTAGGTCAGAGGTCACTGGTGGTACACAAAACACAGAGGCTTCTGAAGCAGCCCAGCCATGTTGATAGGGATGGGGCCCTGCATGTGAACTGTGTGAGCCATTTGTGTCCCTTATGATTTGCTGAGCGGGGCAAGGTTTCATGCTCCTCTTTTTCTCCTCCTCTGGGGCTCTGCTATTCTGTCCACTCATTGATTCCATGGCTGTGAATAGAATGTGCTATTGATAGCCCCTGTGTGCCACATTGCCTTAGAGCATAGGACACAGTGAGTGAAGGACAAGAGGACCATGTCTTCTGTCTTCCAATAGCTTCTATTCTAGCTGATGAGGCAAATGGCAAACGAGAATACAAAGGATAATGTATGTTTGCCAGAGGGTGACTCACATTGCAGAGGAATCGAAATCAGGGAATGGAGAGAACATGGAGGGGGCATCAATTTGAAGAATGTGATTTCCTTTGAGAAAAGTTCACTGGGCCTGCCCTGGATGGGAGGACACAGCTGTCAAGCATCTGGACAACAGAAAATGTATATTCCCTGACACCAAGAGAAACTGGCATGTTGGAGGGCCAGAGAGCACACCAGCATCTGCAGTTAAGAGGGGGAGGTGGAGAGAGGCAGGAGAGAAACAGTTCCACAGACCCTGGTGAGGAGGAGTGATTGGAGCAAGGTGGCTGACACTTCCACCCATCAGCTCTTTTCATAGTAACACTTCATAGTACTGAAAGGATAGAGAGAGGGGGCCCAGGCTGAAACCAAGCCAAACCAATCTGGTGTCAGTATCAAATCCAAGGGGTTGTGGGAACAGTGGAAGGTATCTCAGGTCTCAAGAAGCTATGAGATGAGTGGCTTCCATGTGATCTAAATTGCCCAGAGGGTAGTCTTGCCCCAGCTATGAAGAAATAACCATTACAGTAATAAAAAGTGCATTGCTTAGCCTGAGGTGGTAGTGTGCTAAGTGAGGCAGCAGAGGCCAATGAGGTCATTGCATTAGTGCAGGCCAGAGATGCTAGGTACATGGCCATGCCTGCAGGGATTTATCTTGGAGACAGAACTGGGAAGATCTGCTGAGCATTCCAGTGATGGTATAGCAAGGTAGAGAGGAAGTGGCATCGTCAGTTGCTGAGGCAGAAACAAAAGAGGGAAACAACATTTTCCTAGAAAGATAGAAATTTCTGTTTGACTGTTATATTTACAATACCAAGTGGAGTGTTGAGTCATACAGAAACACTCAACAGGAGGAATCTGAACTCCAGGGAGGACACCAGGGCTGTGTGTGTGTGTGTGTGTGTGTGTGTGTGTGTGTGTGTGTGTGTGTGTGTGTGTGTGTGTAGTATCAGTTTTACTAGTTCAACCAATATTTCAACAATGCTGTGAGCACCTATACAAATGCACTCTTCAAATTTTGCCTGTGACACTGTGGAAAGATGGGTATCTTGCTTCACCCCAAATAGATACTGGCATCAACAACCCGCCAGGACTCCATTCTTAGTCTCCTGTATTTAGAGTCTCAGATCTTACTGTTCTCTGTTTGGATATCTAGATGCAGAAGATGATAAACCTTTTGGGCAGTGTTTCTCAATCTTGGTGTTCATGATACACTGGGGCAGAAAAGTCTTTATTGTGGGAGGCTGTCTCATGCATTGTGGGCTACTTAGCTTCAGTCTGGCCTCACCCTGCTAGATGCCAAGAGTGGAAAATTATCTCCAGACGATGCTCAGTGACCCCCAGGTACCAAAGCACTTCCAGTTGAGAGCCAGCACACTAGGATGGTGAGGCCACATTTAGTTTCCTGAATCACCACATGGAGGGACAACCATCTTTTCCTGTCTAAAAAAGCTACATTATACTGTCAGGTGACTGATAAATGCTCACTGTGTTCAGCTGCTGACATTGAGGGGCTTCTTAGTTTTTCTTAAATCTCCTTGGACATTTGCATAACTGAGTGTGGGGTAGTGGAATAATTTGACAAGTAAAAGATTTCTGAATAACCGGATATTAATTCAGAAAGTAAATGCATCCTAATGAGTCCCAGATGTCCCTGGCAGCACTCACCCATGTTGTGTCCTGTGCCTTCACTGCAACCTCTGTTCTGAAGACAGGACATGCACACTTTGTACTCCCTGTATCACACAAGGCCAATAAACACTTCCTGAACCACCTTGGCTGAGTTCTCAGACTACTTTGTGTTATGGGTTTTGGTGTTTTAACTCGTATTTCAAAATTTTCTGGTCTTATAGAAATATCATGGCTTAATTATGAAAACAAAGTTTTTACTATTTTTCCTTCTATCATCACCCAGCATGTGAGTATCAAATTAATGTACTTTTGGATTGTATTTTGCTCAATTGTTTGCTTTTAAAAATTTGAGCTGCTAAAGTTTCATAAAAACTATTAGATGAATTCTGGTTTGGAATTAGGACAGAACTTTTCAATTTCTGAAATGGCCCTAATCATACCGCTACCATTCTATACTATGTATTTTTATAAAGCTTCACTCTCAATAGTGATGATTATAAAATCAAAATATTGATCAACTATGAAAAGTTTTGAAGATACTCAATGTCCTGAACTGTGAAAAAATTCAGCCAAGAGTTAGTTCTTTATGTAAAAGTTAAACAAGCACATCTCTCATTAATTATTTTACACACACATATAAATAATTGAAAGTCTTGCATACATATGTATATAAATGTGCATAAGTATATGTATACATATAAGCATATATTGTGTGTGTGTGCCATACATGCTCATATGGAGGTCAAAGGACAAATTGCAGGAGTCAATCAGTTCTCTGCTTGCTCCATGGAGGTTCCAGATTATTGAATTCAGGTAGTCAGGGTTGACTGAAAGTTCCTTTACTGAACTACCTCACCAATTCCAAAATTGCTTTCATATTAAACAAATGGTAAATATGTATATGCATATGCATACATATATAACAGAATTGTTTCAAATAAAATTCTTATGTTTTATTAACATTAATATTTGATCTGATACCTATTTTATTTATCTGTATACCCGGGCTCAAATGAAAATTTTTGTGTAAAAGAGGGCAACAAGTAGGAAAGGTTTAAGAGGCCCTGCTCTGAGCAGTCACTGTAGTTAACACCATAAGTAAAAACCCAATAAACCTAGAGACTGGGACCTTCTTGTCCTTTCAGTGCCACTAATTAGCTGCAGGATCCTAGAAAAACCATTCTGAATCTCAAAGAGAGAGAGAGAAAGAGAGAGGGTCAGACAGACACACATATACATACAGAGACAGACAGACAGACACACAGCAAACAAACAAAAACTAAAAACCAGTGAGGGTAGGGGAAGAAAATGGATAAATTATTTTCTTGTGTTGAAAGTTTACTGAGCATGGTGTAGTGTGTGTCTATAATCCTAGCACCCAAGAAGCAGAGGAAAGAGGGTGCCACAAGTTCAAGGCCAGCCAGGACTACATAGCAAGACTCTTTTTTTTGAGAAAAACTTAAAAAGAAAGTCAAAAAATACAGGAAAGAAAGAGAAAACCAGGAAGTCTGAACTAAATTCTTTCTTATGGCAATTACCATGAACAGCATTCATAAAACCCCATTTCTCCTTAGAAATGTTTTTCTAATAGAAAGGAAACCTAATACTGCATTTTGGATCCAAACCAAACCCAGGTTCTGGACTCCACAGGCTGTGAGACCATGAATGTGGTGAGAGGAAGATCTGCTTTTTCAGGGAATTCTGGAGGGAGGAAGCCTGTCGTTATTTCCAGCACTTTCCAAGGGCCGGTTCTATATAAACACAAGGTATTATTCCACTTGCTTTCCATAATTAGAAAGAAAACACATTATGAAACTTTAAAATAATATGACTCTGAATCCCAGGTAATTGCTGTCACAGACTCACCAGAGCACAGGGGCATGTTTGAGGGGTGACCTGCTTCTCTGAGCCCATCTTTCTTTTCCTTACTCCACAAAAAGCCCGAATCCTACATCTATATACCACTTGGCTCCCTGGCAGTGGAGAGACTGTTCTCCATCGGGACACCCCAATTTGCAGAGCCTTCCATGGAAAGTTGCACTGGAGGCAAGATCTAACAGAGAAAATGAGATGGTAAAGTTGAGTATCCAGCAAGACTTGAAGTTTTCCCCAGGTCTTGCTGGAAGCTTCCTTGCAAGCGCTCTGGTGGGTCTACACATTACCTTGCCACTGTGTCCTGGAGTTGGTGAGCTTTGATAGCTCTCTGAAGAGTTACATTTTGTTTCTCATGGTACCCATAACTCCTGAAACTGCAGTTGTGTGGACCTCAATTATCTATTGAAATCTATTTGGGAAAGTTAAAGCAAGTGTTAAGGAAAGATTATCTTGCTCTTTCTATGGAATCAAGCGTTTCATGCCTCCGTGGATATGAAGGGGAATTTTGGGAGGTGGGAGAGAAAGTACAGAAGTGTTTGGTAGAAAGGGGACCCACACAGTAGGATGCTTCTTGTTTGTTAAGTGATAAACTGGAACAGCATCGTCTTCACTGCCCTTCCTAGAAACTCCCAGCCTTTAAACTAGTTAATATCAATAACTGTGATTGCGCCAATGGAAATAACATCCACATTGAACACGCGATGATCTTTAAGTATTTAATACCTTAGCAAGCGCTTTATGTGTACTGTGTCATTTAATGCTCATGATAACTTGAAAGATTACATTTATCATTTCCTATTGTAAATAAGAAGACTTATACATAAAGGTCAAGTACAAATGGTGTGACCGCTGGTAAGACACCCTTGTTCCTGTAAATAGCCCCTCCCCCAGGCACCTATAAGCACCCAGTGAGACTCACTGCATTACATGCATTCATGGAAGACATGGAAGTTTAGTGGGGACTAGTTGGGAAGAGGAAGAGACTCAATGGGAGTGAGAGAAGGACAAGAAGGTGTCCTAAATGTGTTAAATGTAATTGAAACATGCATGTGACAATCTCATAGTGGAATCTATTATTTACAATTAATAAATGCTAATAAAAATGTTTTAAAATGACCAAACACCACATTTAGCACATGACATTGCTAGGACTTGCACCTGAGTCAGTTAGAATAGAGCCCATGCTTTTGGTCATTGTGCTGTGCTGCCTTCATGATGCCCTTGAGGTGTCTGAAGAAGATATGTTGTTGCTCTCAGAGATTACTGTGCAGAGGTACCTCTGATAGGGTTGCTTTCTTCTTTTGTTGGTACCTTTGGTTTTAAGAAAGGATGTTTTCTGTAGGATCTAGCAGACTGGATCTAAAATACTACGAAATCATTCCCTTCTTTAGTTTATAGCATTCCCTATCCTACTGCCTCCAACCCCTCTTGCATCTGGCAATAAAATCACTTTGCCTAGAAACATGCCATATGATGTGACCTCAGCCCAGATGCAGTGGTTGGCTGAGACATAGGCAAATGACTCAACCAAGCCAATCAGAGTTCTCCACATTTCCAGATGAAGGTGGCAGGGAAGTCTATTTAGTTCCATGAGCAATAAAATCACCTTTTAAATTTTTATGTGCATTTATTGGCTTCAGTTATTTCAGGTTGGATTTCAGAAAGAATCAAGGCTGACACAAATCATCTCCCAATTCTTCTCAATTTCTGTTCCACTGTGGGCACCAGTGCACTTCAGCTACGAGAGGACTTGATTATCTACCAGTGAAGACCAAGAAGCTCATTTCAGAGCAAACAAAACAGTGAGATGAAGATAGGAAGGGTGCTGGCAAGGCAACACCCTCAGAGTCAGTAGATGCAAACAGAGCTCCAAGGAACACTACGGTCTTCTTGTTTGAAATATTTGTTTAAATATGGTAAGAGATTTTCCCAAGGAGGAGTTGCTGCAGAAGATGCTGCCCTGCCCAGATGGAGGAGAGTCCAGAGGATTAAGGAGTCTTACTTTAGACTTTACAAGATGTTTCCCCTTGGGCATGCCCATTTGCATATATTTTCCATATCAGTTTTCGTGTTTTTCTTGAGGACCATTCTTCTTTGTGTACACTATACCACCACACTAGGGACCTATAAGAAAAATATCAGCTTGTTTTCCTAAGTGGGGGCTTGTGTTCACCACAAAAATTGAGCTACAAGTAAATCATGTTCTGATCTTGAAGGATAAAATAAACACCAAGCAAATGCAAAGCTATGCTTTGCCAGAGCCAAATAGAACATGATGTTCCAAAGTTTCCAGTGAGTTCCAAAATTAGAAGAAATCTTGGCCAAATGCATACTCGGGTCCCATTAGGAGTCTTATCACTTGAAGCCCCGCCTTAACTTGCTCCAGTAGCTCCCAGGAGGCTAAAGGGCCTTTCTCCGTGTGTTTTGGAGCTGCCCCAGGACTGCTGAATTCTCCTCTGCTATTGGCATAGTTGTGCCCCAGTTAGGATGGAAACAGAGCATCCAAAAGGCAGTCAGTGATCTCAGACTTGGAGGCCCACTTCCAGCTGTGTTTCTTCTAGGAAGCCCAGCTGCTTGCCACTGCATTTGCACAGTGGGTAGTCAGCATAGCCTGGCTTCACAGTGGTTACCCTCCAGAAACATTTGGTTAGGTAGGTGCCAGATAGTACTTTTTGGTTGATCCACAAGAGTACTAGGAAAGGCTTCCTGGACTAGGCATTCTATAAAATGTGCTGTTGCTGATTGGAAGCCATCTTTGACAGGTACTCTGGTTCAAGTGTGAATAGGGTAGTTGTTAAGGACAGCCATATGGTTGGTGGCCAGCCAATCAGTGTCAAGCAAGAATATGTGGGTACTTGCTGAGTTACCTTCTGGGGTCAAGGCTACCAAACTCAAACAACACAAATTTGAGTTTCCCTACATCCCTCTGTTCTCCCCCGCCCTCCTCTCCCCCCCCTTCCTCCCTTTCAGTTTCTCTTTTTTTTCTATGTGCCTCCCACATGCTGAGGCTTCATCTTATCTCCCTCCTCTCATAAATTAAATGTAGACAGTGGAGCTAGCCAGTGTCATCTTTATAGAGTGCATGTATTCTAACCTCTCAATTTTGGCTCATTCCAGTTTTTCCCTTTGGAATGCTTTTCCCCACTCCCCAAATACCATTCATTTCTCAAGCTCATCTCAAATCTTGGGTCCTCTGTAAAACATCATCCTGTCAACGATTTCAATCCGTTTGGGTTGTTTGTCTTTCTTATCTCAATCTCTACCATCCCAGAACAAATGCTGCATTAATATTAATTCTTCCATCCCTTTCATCTATAATCCATGATGCCACCAGAGCGTCTTGCAGCTAGGAAGCATATTTCAGATTTTCTCTCTCTCTCTTTTTTTGTCTCTCTTGAGATTTGAGCGACAGATACTTGACATTAACTTCAAGTTTACTATTATTGTTTAACAAATTGTATACAAAATTTCTACATGCTAATAATTAGAGAATCTTATTGAGGTAACTTGAATAATACTGGGATAGATCCTAAGTATTCTTATCACACTCATGAAAGATATTGATATGAGGCAATGGGATATATTAATTAGCCTGGTTTTAAATGTGGGTTTATGTCAAAACATCACACTGTACAGCTTGAGTACATAGTGTTTATTTTTCTTTCTTTTTTCGTGTGTGTGTGTGTGTGTGTGTGTGTGTGTGTGTGTG